TTTTTTTTTTTTTTACTTCAAAGTCTAGATTTTGTGTTGGTAGAGGAAGGGGGAAGTTTCAGATGTAAATAACACCAGGGCCTTTCACCCTAGATTTCATAAGCGATTTCTCCTCATTGACCATATTCCTGTGCTTCTGTATTCCCAGTATCAAATCCCCCACCATCTGCAAGAGAGGCGGAAGGGACGTGGGTCAGGAGGAGGAGGACAGCAAGTAAACACCAGTGTTTACGGGAGGGATGGCTGTTCTCCAAGTTGTTCTAAGGTAAGACAATGGTATCCTTCTGGGAAACAGGGCACCTGGTTAATACAATGAGAAACTGTCCCACCAAGAAGAGATCCCTGGAGTTTCCTCTGATCAGTTCAGCACCCAAGGTAGCAGATGTTTTCCATTGGTCATCTCTTTCCTCCCTGTGAGTCCTGAGTGCCATGGGCCCTCCCTGCCTCAGCACCCTGCCCCGCAGCCACCACCCCACCTGACTCCAGCCAGTCACAGAGCAGGATGCTTTTTCCATAGATATTTCTTTTTTCTCGATGACTTTCAATCCGCCATCACATACTCTGACTGCCCCCTATATCTGACCCCAAACATGGATGCATCCCTCCCACCCTGTGTTTGTCGATCAGCATCTACTGAGCTACTGTTGCCACCGCATTAACATCAACATACTAGTTTTCTGTATGTTTTATAAGCAGATGAATTACAAAAAATGTGTAAGTAAGGAAAAGCCATTTGCCATAAACACACTCAACATCCTGCAAGCCAAGTCTCTTTTACTGGGGGAAAAAAAGTTCTAGTGTAAATAGTCTTTGAGAAGAACATCACACAGGTGGCAACTTGATTCCAGTGTGGGAAATCTGAATATACACACTATGGGTCACTAACCAGAAATCAGTCATGAATTTAGTTTAAAACACAGTTTTAGCTTTTCTTCCCTAGATTTATGCCTAGGATGCTCAGGCTACCCCCTTTTGGGCAAACCTGCTAAGTTTCTTTCAAGCTACCTCAGTTTCCAATAAAAGCCACACCTAAAACTCATTTCTATCCTCTGCCCCTAGACCAGAATTCAACATGAAGACCCTTCTTTAGAGTCTTTCAAGAGTTGAATCCCAACAAAGCAGAGCTGGCCAGATGGTTGTTCAGGCTGTGCACTATGCAAGGGCACTACAGGTAAGGGGGTGGCAGTCACAGCCTGAGCCTTTCTATTGTTTTAAAATTTGTTTACATTTTTCTTAAAACTTGGATACATTAAAGATGGGTAATTTAATTATTTATGTTACATTTTCTAGCATATGGCAATGAAGCATCTTATTCTAAAAATCAATAATATAGTTCAACAATTTCCCAGTAGATGGAAAGAAAGTGTCTTGGGTGCTTTGGTCTCATTTGCACATATGGGCTAGCGGTGACTCTCAGAAAAGCTCCTTTCAAATGTCTTAAATCCCTGTCACCTTGGCTGGCCACTACTACTTCAGCCTTAGTTGGATGGACCCTGGTCAGCAATGACTTCCCCTGCAATCTAGTCTTTTTCTTAGTACCTTCAGTTATCAAGTATCTCCCCCACCCCTCACAGCAAGCCCCTACGTGCTACGGTACCCTCTTGTCCTAGTTCTGTCAACTGATCTACGAAGCCCATGTTAACAATAACACGATGACCTTTAGTTACAGCAAAAGATTAATTACCACTGAGAAAGAGATGTCTAGGAGAGGCACGCTCCACACACTTAAAATCATTAACAAAACATGATGTTTGAACTTGGGTTTCAGTCATTGTCTGAACGTATTCCTCGCATTTTCAAAAAAGCAAAATGAAATTAAGCTTTCAAAAGAAAATTCATTTGCATTGACTTATTTCATGAATAATATCATTTATGATAAAACTGCTGCCGGTGGGGGAGGAACACACTGGTAGAGAGTCCTTGCCTAACATGTGTAAGGCCCTGGGTTCCAGCTCTAGCACTGCAAACAAATAAAATAAAACTACCACCAGGAAGTGTAAAATATTTAAGAGGCAGTTGCAGATCCAAGTCAAATAGAATAATAGATCAAGCAGAATTCCACATAAACTCACCTTGACCCCCTGAAAACGAGTTTTACTGCCATTGGTGACAATTTGACCTAGTAGACAATCCAGCTGTGGAAACCTTGAAAAGGAAAAGATACAGGAAAATTCAGAAGAAAAGACAAAGATTCAGAAAAGCATAAACAGTAACTTCATTATGTTACTTCTCACTGAAAACCGAAGTTAGTTTAGAAGTCTCTAGGGCCATGCTGTAATTGTGCCACAAATAAACTCTTCCTCGTTGGAGTAGTTTCATAAAAATCACCATTTTTTTTCCGCTGTTTGAGTCTAGGATTTTAGAGATACTTAATCTTATTTTCAGATTAATCCTCAATGGATTACATGACTTCAATTTTCTTTCTATCTTAATCCCTCCAGTAGTTAATGATCTGAAAACTGATTCTTAAATACACCATATAAATGAAGTATCTTAAGGACTTATGACACATCTTTTGTCAGGGGAAGTATACCTCTGATACATAAATAATCATATCCATTATGTAGATCTAAATTTTCTTAAACTGTACCAAATTTATATTCTGTTATTTTTTCTAACTCAGAAAAAATTAAAAACCAGAGGAACTATGAGTCCTACAATATGGACAATATCAATATTAATTAGATTCTTACGTAAGTTTTATTTGAAAAAAAAACAGCAAAAATTACTCTTCTTTTCTCTAAATTGTCCAACAGAAAGATTGGTCATTAAGCGATAGAAAAGACATATACTTTCCTCACAAATGCTACTAGGGTAAGATATTTTGGAATTCCTGCTAGTATTAGGCTGAGTCATAAAAGATTGCCAATATTCAACCATTTTTTCACCTCTAATGATATCAATTTTATAATTTTTAAAACCAGAAAATAGACAGAATTGGAAAAACCCAGTGATTATGAAACTAGATTTTCAAAACTAATGCTCAACATATATCGTTTTTCTGAGCAGCATCAATAGTCTGAGTACTGTTAGCTGCTGTTACTCCAGTTTATCACCAGTGGTACCTAAAAGATAACGAATGAATTCCCTCCAGAATAGGGAAGGGATTGATGTGCCCCTTTTTAATTCTTTCTTTTCTTCTGGTCCCAATTAACTGACAAAGCTCTCCCCGCTGCCTCCCTGCAAAAGAAGAGACTTTTTCAAGAGCATAAATATGGCAGAAAGAAGAGATGATGCCTGCAAGGCAGAGGTGAGAGGAAGAACACTGGTCTCTAAGAAGGACACAGCAAGTGAGAGAGGGAGGTGCAAAGGAAGCCCACCGCCAGTGCTCACACGGTGGGGTTACAGCGCACCACCCCAAGGAAACTCAGCAGGTTTAGGGCCACGTCCAGATGGAATGCTGAGAGTGTATGACTCAGCCTAATACCAGCAAGAATTCCAAAATATCTTACCCCAGTAGCATTTGGGAGGAAAGTTTATGTCTTTTATGACAGTTTGTGTCTTTATACTCCTAAAGCTGTACTTAGTTGCCTGTCTATCTTAAGATTTACCACCACCACTAGGAATGTACATCACAGCACAAACAATCCTACCGGAACTAAGAGCCAACAAAGAGAAGCCAGGGGAGTACCCGGACGCACTTGCTTCTGAGGAGGAGGAAGAAAAGATTTAGATCACTTCCCCCACAGCAAGGGACCCAGCCAATCAGCAGCCCATTCGTTGTAGGTTTGTTTTGTTTGTGGGTTTTGTATGAAAGAGCACCCACTAGCAAAATAAACTTTTTGATCTCTTTGGAGGACCATTCATTTATTTTTCAGTCCCTACTTTTTAAATTAATTATGTGAGGATAAAATACAAGATCAAAATCAGCTTTCTGACTATGCAGATGAGAGACGAAAGTCTAAGTTGACATCCTGGGTGAAACCTCTCTCTTTATTCATATCTAGTCCAAATCCTAAATAAGAATTTCTTCCACAAAAGAAAATGGAAATAGAGTCAAACTGACGTGCACAGGCTCTTTGTTTTGTTCCAATAGTGACTTTCCCCTTAACACAGAGGTATTTTTAATCTACGGTAGAGCACTGTAACATTGAAGGTAAATGCATCAATAATAGTAGAAGCTGAGTAATGTCACTAAAAATCACAGAAAAAATAAATCATTATTATTATTATTATTATTATTATTATTATTTAGTGTGGTCATACAGATCTGCTGCAAATACAACAGCTTTGAATTCCTGTTGGAAAAATCCTACCCCTTGTAAAGAAGAGAGCAAAGTTGATTTAATGTTATTAAAGAAATCAAACAGCCAGGTGCAGTGGTGCACACCTGTAATCCCAGCAGCTGAGGAGGCTGAGGCAGGAGGATCACAAGTTCAAAGCCAACCTCAGCAAACATGAGGTGCTAAGCAACTCAGTGAGACCCTGTCTCTAAATAAAATACAAAACAGGGCTGGGGGTGTGGCTCAGTGGTTGAGTGCCCCTGAGTTCAATCCCCAGTATCTAAATATATATATATATAAAAGAAAAATCAAACAAGGATGTGAACTAAGTTAAGAAGTACTATCTATGTATGTGAAGATTACGTGTGCAGAGGTGGAAATGCAGCTTCTAATTAAATAAGGGAGCTCTGTGAAGGTCCAGAGTCTGAGAACCAACTTCTGCAGTGGAACCATAGACCACTGGGAATTACCACTGTGACCAACGTAGGGTCTGCAGACCATCAGCAGCAGCACAACGTGAGAGCTGGCATGGGAGGCTAGGGGACTAGATGTTCCCTAACTGAAAATTTTATTTCATAGAAAATATATGATTTTCAAAAAAAAATTCTACTGTTCTGTGGAATGTGTTTTCTTTCTTGATATCCTCTGAAGGGAAAGCGTTTTAGATTTCCCCCCCCCCTGTGGATTGAACTCAGGGACACTCAAGCACTGAGCCATCTCTCCAACCCTATTTTGTATTTTTATTTAGAAACAGGGTCTCACTGAGTTGCTTAGCGCCTCGCCTCACTTTTTCTGAGGCTGGCTTTGAACACTCAATCCTCCTGTATCAGCCTCCTGAGCTGCTGGGATTACAGGCCTGTGACACCGTGCCCAGAAAATTTGAGATTTTTATGAAACCCAGTCCTTATAATTTTTCTTCTGTCATTTCAGCTTTCAGTGTTATATCTAATAAACCATTACCTAAATCTGTAATATGAAGATTTACTCGTGTTTTTTCTAAGAGTTTTAGTGTTTTCATTCTTACGTTTAGATCAATGGCCATGTTGAGTTAACTTTTGAACCTGGTATGAAGTAGGTCAATGTCATCCTTTCACATGTGGACATTCTAGCTTCATTCTTCAAAAACTTCTTTCTCCACTAGTGTATCTTATCACCCTTGTTAAAAACCAATTAATCATAAGTTCAAGGGTTTATTTCTGGACTCACAATAATATACCACTGATGTATAGATTATTCTACTGTACCCTACTGTCTTGATTAAATTCGTTTTGTAGTAAGTTTTGAAATCCAATAGTGATGAATCCTTCAACTTCGTTCTGCTTTTTCAGTCTTGCATTGACTATTATGGATCTGTTGTTACATTTCAGAAGGACATAGGAAAAGACAGATGTGATTTTTATAGGAATTACATAGATCAATTTGGGAAACACTGGTATCTTAACAATTTTAAGTCCAAAAAAAAAAGATATCCTACCTTTTATTTAGATTCTCCTTAACTTCTTTCAACATTTTGTCTACTGAAGACACCAGTCTTTTGTTACATTTGTTCCTAAGTATTTTGGTATTTTTGACACTATTACACATGAAATTTTTTCTTAATTTTCAGATTGTGCACTTTAAATGCATATAAACACAAGTGACTTTATGCATCCTGTATCCTGCCACTTTGCTGAACTTACTAGTTCTAATGGCTTGTGTGAGTGAGCATGAATGTGTGTATGTGTGTCTATATTAGTGTGTGGAAACCCTTGGGATTTTCCATAGTATACAAGATCCTATCATCTGCAAATACAATTTTACTCTTCCTTTCTAATCTAGATGATATTTATGTTTTTCTTGCCTGATTACCTTGGCTAGAACTTCCAGCCTGATGCTGAATAAATGTGACAAGAGAAGTATCCTTGATTGATTCCTGAACTTAGAAGGAAAAACAGGTTCCTGCCCTGTTTTCATAGATGCCCTTCCTGCAACTAAAGAAATTTCCTTCTATTCCTCATTTTGTGAATGTATTTATGATAAAGCACTGTAGGGATTTTTCAAGTGTTTTCCCATATTTACTGAAATGATTATGTGTTTTTTGTACTTTATTCTACTAACATAGTTTATTACACTTGTTTTTATATTGCATTGCTCAGATAAATCCCATTTTATATATAATCATTTTATATGTTGCTGTTTCCTGTTTGAGGATATTTAGTGCAGATTTTTACAACTCTATTCATAAGAAATACTAATCTGCATTTTTTTTCCTGTCATGTCTTTGGTTATCAAAGTAATACTAACCTCCGAGAGTGAATTAGAAATGTTATCCCCTTTCCCATTGGGGAACAGAGATTATGCAAAACTGCTTTTAATTCTTTAAGCAGAATTTACCAAAGAAGCCCCTTGGTCTGGACGTTTCTTTGTGGGCAATGTTTTACTATTATTTCAATCTTTTTTCTTGTTACAGGTCACTTCATGTTTTCCATTTCTTCTTGAGTCAGTTTGGCAATGTGTGTCCTTCCTAGGAGTTTGTCCATTTTGTTTTGGTTATCCAATTTTCTGGCATAAAATTATTCATCATGTTCCTTCATAATGCATTTTATCTCTCTTCTTCACTCATTCTGACTTCAGTAACTAAGTCTTCATTCTTTTTCTATTAACCAGTAAGGTTTCTCAATTTAATTGATCTTTTCAAAAGGAAAATTTTTTACTTTCATTGATTTTTCTCTGTTGTTTTTCTACTTCTTTTATTTCTGCTTTGGTCTTTACTATTTTCTTCCCTTTGCTTATTTTGGGTTTGGTCTGCATTTCTTTTTTGTACCTCACAAAATGAAGGTATAATTCAGTGAGGTTTTGAGTTATCTCTCTTTTGCCAACACAGGCATTTACAATAAAAATTTCCCTCTAAGGACTGATTCATTTGCCTCCCGCATGGCTTAG